TGTTATCAGTGAGCAATATTGTTATAAAGCATTGCATCATATGACTAAATGACCAAGTCAAGGCAATACTGGAAATCCCAGTTCCACTGCAACCCCATGATGTGTGGGTCATTAAGCCAAAGTTCCAGCAAACCCAGTTGCTGCCATTGAATGAATTTCGTGTTGCTATCAGGTAAGAAACACCCAGATCCAAACTATTCTTGTAAAAATGTAAGGGACTGTTTACTTCAACTCTCCTCATCTATCTATTTCCACATCTCTGTTCTTTTGGCTTTCTTTTGCACACTGGCCAAGGCCTCTTTCTCCTTTCATGCGGTAAACACGTGTTTCTAGATGGGGGTCTTCTTTTGTGCCAGCACAGCCAGGGTCTTCTTTTTTATACAGCCAGGTTCTCCTTTCACAAACGGGGGCCTTAGCCAACACGTGGAGGCCCTGGTCAGTTCATCACTGGCTGTGCCAGTGCAAAAGACAGGGTGAATGAAGGCCCCAGCTGATATAGTAGTGCCAAGAGCAGACAATGGCAGCAAGTAGGCAAAAAGTGTTTATGAATGCCTGAATTTTGTTCAGATGTCTACAGTGGTTCTGCAATAGAACTTCAAACTCATAAGCCCTTCATTCATCATCATTGTAACTTTGAATGGTTGCTGAATAAATGATGTTGAGTGAGACTACCAGTAACTATAGGATATTGGCATAGACGTGTTGACACATTTATTTTAATGTAATTTAAATGTTCACTCACATTGAACATAGATAAAACATCTTCCGGGCACATGGATGCAATATGTTCTCTTGATTTATCACATTCAGGTAAAAAATAGAGCAATATTTCTCTGAAAAAATAAACAAACGAAGCATTGCAGCAAAATAAACAGCCATACATAGTTCTAGGAGGTCCATGAAGGGGAAAACCTCATGCACTTTTTAAAGGGAAAATATGTACATACATGCTTTCTTCTTTTTAATGGTAAGAATGGTATTCCGAGGGACTTGATACCATTCATTTTAACTTACAAGAGTCTATTTTATGCAATTGATAAAATAAAAACATTCACAAATGGCGATACCATACAAATCTGTTAGCCTTAAGGAGCCACAGGGTTCTTTATTGAAACATGGATGATAAACATCTACTATATATTTTACTGCCGAGCTTATTCAACTGAAAATATTGCCATTTTTACAACATTCCCAATCCTTAAAACTATACTTCCATGAATTAACATATTAAAGCAATAATGAATTGCTTTTAGAAATCCATTTAACCAATTTGTTTTCTTACTTAAAAGAGTACAAAAAATGAATTTGAGTTTCTATTCCTGTCCCAAAGAAATTCTGTGGGGTAATTAGCACCTCTGGGAGCAATTAACAGTTCAGGAGGATTTTTTCTCCTAGGAGAAAGATGAATAAGCTCTTAATATTACATTGTGACTGGCTGTATCATAATGCAGTGATGCCTCGTTTGTATGATAGGTTTAAAATAGAGTGGGTAATGCAACAGAGTTTAACAAAAAAGTACAATTGTACTTTTTCAAAAATGTGCTGTTCAAATTATCATGTCTGTCTGAAATATAATTCTTTTGATTACCTACTCAGTAAAATACAAAGGTACAATACCTCCCTCTATCCCAATTTTAATTGTGGTTTTTACTGAAACAAGTTATTGGAGAATTTTATATAGGCTATTCTTCAACACTGATTCCACAGAATGCAACTATACTTATAAGTGGTCATTTTAACTGATGTGAAATGCAGCCTAAAATATGACTTTACACTGTTTACAAGGACACACACTGACTAAAGTAAACTTACATTCCTTTATATGCTTTATAAACTTGAGTCTTTATGACCACTCACTTGATATGAGATGTTAATGTCTGAATCATCTTGGTTTTAGTGATGCTCTGGGAATGTTGAGTTAGGTGCGAAACTTCAACTGACTTCTCTTCCACAATAAAGACTTGATCTTGATCTTCTTTTGCAGCTTCTGTGGATCTACAGAATAGAAACACCATTACAAATATTACATTATAACATTACACCCAATGGAAGCAGATAAGAGCCACATTGAAAACCCAACATTAAATTCTAATTAAAAAGGATCAGATTGTGCAGTTTTAAACCATCTCTATTTAATACTCCAGACAGCTCCTGTTATTCAATGAACACTAAGCCAAAGTAACAAATAATCTGATTGGGTTTAAGTTGCTATATTTATCTCAGTAGGATACTAGGTCTTAAAACAAACCCTGCAATATTCTTTACATTTCTGAGAACTCTGTGAAGATTGTTAGGTCACTTGGATTGGCATTGTGTTGCCTGTTCAAGATTTCTCAGTGAGCTTTGCAACTGCAATTTACAAATCCAGATCATTTTCTCAATCTGTTTACATTTTCAATGCACAATATTTCTTGTCTATATGATGCCAGGTAAATCACAAAAATTTAGCTCTCTATAAAACCAAGCAGGGCATAATAGAAGTTTTCAATTTTTGGGGTACTACTGTTACTAAAAAAAACCCAAAGAAATATCTATATTTTATTGTGCCTCTTATATCGAGAATTAAATTTTTCATTACTTTCAGGCAAGCAGTACAAAAGATCAGGGAGTTTCAACCTCAGCTCTTTGGAGCTTTTCAAAACTGGCTGAAGAATTGTAAGAGTGGAAGATATTTTTTGTTTAAAATTGCCTATAATTATAGTAACTGTGCTGTAATTAAAATTCAATTTAAACTAAAAGGAAAACCAGGTTTTTGCTATGTTTTACCCACTTTGTCTTTTTCTGATCTGACCAATTTTGGGGTCAGTATGACCACCAGCACAGAAAAGCTACACTCTATGACTTTTTAAATAAACAACAACCACCAAAAAGATATCATGTGGGAGGCAAAATAAAATAAAAATTGGAATTAAAATTATTTGAAGAAAAAAAATGACTTCATTTATGGTGATGAAATTACTTTTGGTGCCTGGAAGTGAGGAAGACTTAAGGAATTGAAGGTAAAAGAACATAATGCAAAACTGGTTCGCTATAAAACCAATAAACCAAACCCCAAGATTATATCTATATCTAGATTATATCTAATGTCAGACCAAAGCAAACAAGTAGAGAAGGAGTTATTATTTTATTATATTTTTTAATCTCACATTTATTCCTTTTATAAATAACTCATGATGGCAAACATCTAGTACCATTTCTTCCTCCTATTTTCTCCTGCAAGTACAACCCTGTGAGTTGGGCTGAGAGTGACTAGCCCAAAATAACTAATTTTATCTTTCTAGACTCAAAAATTCATAGATATGTTGACTGCAGCCATGAAGAGATATATTTACTGCTTGGGAGAAAGTAAAACTAGACCACAGATGTATTGATAATGAAGCATTAATTAATGAAGCACTAATAATAACAGATGTTTTTGATACATCTTCGGAAAAGATTCACTTTGTTATGTGAGGCCTTCACTGTGGCATGAACAGACTTTATATATATATTTCTGAGGTTTTTGCGGGTGTTAGTATGTAGGTCTCTAGTTATTCGGGTTTTCTCCCGCGTAAAATTGGAGATGTCTTGGCGACGTTTCGATGAAGTCTCATTCGTCATCTTCAGACTTGGTGCTTCCAGGAGCAATGTGAGATCTCGGCTGTTTCTTCCTTTTAACTGCCAGTGGGGGTTTGAACTGATTGGGTGGGAGCTTGGCTGTGTCCTGACTGGGTGGAGGTGGGTCCTGATTGGGTGGAGGTGTGTTCTGATTGGTTGGGGGTTTGTGTTTCATGTAAGCATAGGAGGGGTTTAAAGAGGCTAATTGTGCCTTTGCAGTCTGGCTTCTGGTCCTTGGTCGTGCCTCATCAGTGTGGGTTTTGTGTGTGTGTGTGTGTGTGTGTACACACACACACACACACACACACATACATACATACATACATATAGTATCTTCTTAAGTTCTGTAATAAGACTCATTAGAAAAGACACAGATGCTAGGCCAAAACAAATGCAATACAAGAGACCAAGCAACAGAAGGCAAGGTATATAAATATACTAATGACAGAACTCCTAAGAATCCAAAGAAATTATTTGGAAACTAGCAAAATGATATCGACTGGGTAACAAAGATTTGGAAATAACTGAATAACAATAAGTTATTGCCATTGGTCTCCTGAAAAAGTGGGAGTGCTTACCCTTTCTATTCTATTATCCCTTTTTGTTTTTTTTTCTGGAGGAAGACATGCTCAAATGCATACAGCAAACTCTGAGGATGTGTGAGCAGTCACAGCATTCATGCATGACTTCCAAAGAAATTGCTTTATGAACATGCATGGTTAGTGATGCTTTCAACAAATAAAATTGAAATCTGGCTTTAACTGCACTGAAAATTAACATGCATCAAGACAAAGCATTAACAGTTTTTTAAATAATTTAATATGAATCATATACTAGTTTATTCTATGCCTATATCTATTTTTTAAAACTAATAATTCTAATTAATAAATAATCATAACTTTTCTTTGCAGTAGCATTTGCTTTGTACAATCAGAAATAACTTAATGGAAAATTCTGCTTGAGTCCTTATATTTCACGTTTAACTCTGATCTAGCAGAATTAATATTAGATTGATGCTTTTCTAATGTATGTGATACTTTATGAATTTACCAATGTTAAGAAAATTATTTTAACCATGTTTATTATATGTAATTAAAACAATGACTTCACTTTGTTTGGTCTTCCTTGTCATTAAAATATTGCAATGTTATATATAGAGTACGTATTTCACATTGCATTACATTCTCCTGGTTCCTCCCCCACCCCTCAACAATTCCCTCTATGCAGTAGATTTGGCTGAGTAACCAAAACTATATAGCACAGTTCTATGGCTTAGTTGGACTAGATTGATTCTCCTGAATCCTAGGCTAACACTAAACAGTGCTAATAGCCAGTAATTCAGAATTTGACTACCAAGTGTTCCAGTACCCTCACCTTTTTGAGTTTGCTGATATCATATGTCTTTTTTTAGATTTTCCATGCTTGCTTAGACCAAGGAAACTGTCAGCTGTTTCTTCACACTGTTCTTGTTTTTCTATATGTGGTTTAAACATTTAAGGCAATAATAATAAAGTTATTAATCATGGATTTAACCAGATGAGCAGGATAAGAAAACTGGAGAACTTCCTGGAAGCTGGGGTTTTGAAAAAAAAAAATGACTGGAAAATATAGTTACATGTTAATTGGCTATATTAGCCAATAAGTGGTACAAGAATTTGGATTTGGTCATGGCTTGACCAACATGAGCTCATTATGATTTCCAGTTATTTAGAACATGAAAAGTCACATGTGGAAATTCACATTTTGAAAGAGATTCCATAGTACAATTACAGAATATGCAAACCCCTCCACAACCCAATTAAATATTACACTAAGAGTAGTGTTTAACTGCTGTAGGGCAGAGATTACTGGAAACCCTTTAGCGACGTCTTTCATTCCTGATCACTCACTATTATTAGACAGTAAGAAAAACTTTTCCTTCCCCCTTTAATACCATACAGCAATACTATTTTAAATGCAATGCATATAATATTGGAATATGCCTGTAATACCATATATATTATAAGTGTGGTTGCCATATACAATACAGGCATAAAGAGTTCTCTCCAGTTTATTCAGTAAACACATTCTAATGGCCATTTTGATTTTTTTTTATTATACAGTATCCTAGCACTTCAATTCTTTTTACCTTTTACTCAGAGAGCATATATTAGCAATGAAACAAAAAAGTGAAAATTCCCAAGTTCATCCTATAACCCCTCTCCCCCTTTCAGTGCGTTCGAAATGTAAAACAATATCTGGAGGTAAAGATTATTAACTTTAATCCACATACAACAAATTCAGAATTCAACATCAAGATTACCTTTTTTCATTAAAACACTTCCTGCAAATAATTCATCCTTTGGCAGATCTTCAGTTTCACTATCAGATGATATCTGCAGTAAAACACTTTGGTTATTATTCATACGCTTTAATTTTTGCATTGGAGGAATAACTATATATTCCCTTATCTACTCTCTTGGAGACTATTACAGGTTAGAAACAACTGTTTGCTCCATTTATAAAAACAAGTAAGAGGTGACATATTCATTATACTACAAAAATGTGCTTCCCCGATGCAAGGAACTTTTATGCTTGTAAGCTATTAGTTATTAAGAAGTATTGTAAAAAAAAGAATTTCCCTCCTAATTTGATGCGAGCCAATAAAGAATTGTAATTCTTTCTTCAAGGTTTCCTGGGTGTACTATAAGTAGAAAAACAACAAAGATTTACTATCACATTTACATTTCAAATGGACTCTGGGAATGCAAACATTTATTTTAATCTCTGGTTATTATACATTTTATGATACAAATGATTCTCAAGTTATTCTAAAATGTTTGTTTTGCATTATTTGCCAGTTGTTTTCTTTTTCATAATGCTACTTAACATCAGTCTCCAAAGTGACACTAAAATAGTACCTTCAAATGCTAATATTCTTTTTTCCCCAGTTTGACTAGTTAGCGTAAGTGCAGTAACATAATTATCTGGCAATGGTTAATTCTTTTGAGCATGTGCTAATTACACCTGTCTTTTTCTTCATTAGAGAAAGAATATACAGTATTTCTGATAAACCAAGAATCAAGACAAATGAGTCATAAGTAATAAAAATAAAGAACATTCCAAAGCAGAATTTTAAAAAGTTGGATGTACCCAACTGAATAACATGCTATATTATCTGTAATGAAAACTTTTTTTGTTGAAAAGATGTAATAAAGAAAGACAAGTGACTGAAATGTTTACTTCCAAGTATGTTAAATAAATCTTTAGTAGTAACTAAAAACAACAGATCAGTTGTAACTGGCTAGATGCTACAAACCACTATAACATTCTAGAAATTGATAGCATCTAGCCAGTTACTACTGATCTCTTGTTTCTTTCCCCAGAAGTGAAGTGGGACCTTGTCAGTTCTCTAGTGAGGAAAGAGGAAATTCTTTGTTGTAGGCCACTCTGGAAGGTGAACAACAAACATCCAGAGGAAGACAATCATATACAACTTTTGTGTACAAGAAAACTATAAGGACAGTCCAGTTATCAAAATCAAGCTCAGTTTGAGTCTTCATTTATTTGTCAGGGAGTCAGTTTATTGCGGCCAAATACCAGTATACAATGAAGCAATTAATAACTATTTAAACGTAAAAGAGCAGGACAAACTATAAAACACAAGCTAAAGGAAAAATACACAATCTAACACCTGATTAATCATCTCAAACTGCTCAAATTGTTCACAATAACACATAAAGGTATGTTCTCTGTTCTTTTTGCTATTTAGCTTTTTGCAACAATTCCACTGCGTTCTGGTCTCATTTTATTCAAGTCTGATGTAACTCCAGTGGTCTGTCAGAACACTTCAGATTTTCCCACCACCACCAAAGTTAGCACACAGCAGTGGTCGGTTTCAAAAATTGTTGGAACCTACTCTGTAGGTGTGGCCTCCTTTGTGGGAGTGGCTTGCCACCCATGTGACCAGATGGGAGTGGTTTGCTGCCCATGTGACCGGATATGAAATTATGAATTAGTACTTAGGTCAGTCCAAGTAGCTATTCAGAAACTCTGGCATTGAAGCATGCAGGTCTTAAAGCTGTCAAGTTACAAGATCCTTGCCAGTGGTGGGTTTCAAAAAAATTTGGAACCTCTTCTGTAGGTGTGGCCTGCTTTCCGAGTCCACTGGTGGAACCTCTTCTAACCGGTTGGGTAGATTTGACGAACTGGTTCTACCGAATAGGTGCGAACTGGTAGGAACCCAACTCTGAGGGTAGGGTAGGGTAGGGTAGGGTAGGGTA